TCCCACCACAGCCTCTCTGTTCCTCTCACCATCCCAGAGCCCTCTGCCCGCGTCCCCCTGTCCTGCACCAGGCTCAGTTCCCGCCACTCCATCCCGCAGAGCTAATGAATAAGATAACGGTGCTAATTGGAGCGGGTGGGTGGGCTGAACGGGAAACGCTCCCGTGATCGCAGCCACTCCCTCTGGCCTGCCTGCGCTTTGCTCTTTACCTGTATTCAAAGGGTATTAAAAAAAAATTAACAAGCCCTGACTACATAAAAGGAAGCTGCTGAATTTACAACCCAGCCTGCAGCTAGACCACCTTGCCTGCCGAGCAGGTTTAGACCAGGCCAAGTCTGCCATGGGAAACCCACTGACAGGGAGGCTGAGGAGTGTTGGGAGAAGGGGATCCAGCCCTGTTTGTGCTGGGCTGCGCTGCAGCAACATCCCTGTAATGTGGGCACTGCCCTCCCGCAGCGGCACCCTGGGCTGGGGGCTCCCCTCCTGCGCTCTGCGGATCCCAGCAATCCGAAAATCCCGTGCCAGAGGCGGGATGGCACCCCTGGAGCCTGAGGCAAATGCAGCCGGGCTCCTGGTTAATCTCATCTGCTATTTTGTGGGAACTGCAGCACTTCAGCCCCCTGAGCTGTGGCTGGGAGACCGAGGCGGCTGCACGTCAGCGGCAAACGCAGCGGTCGCGGGTGCCTGAGCTCTCTCTCGGGGAAGCTCCCGTCCAGCACCGGTCTGTGGTTCATCTTTGACAGTTACACACCAAATTCGTATAAGGGACATCGCAAGCGTAAATGAAAGGAGCAGAAAAGCAGTTTAAAGATAGACACAGAAGCCTGAAAGCAGGCAGGAAACCCATCTTGAGCATGTTCCTTCCTTTGAGGCTGAAGCTGAATCCCACAATATGTTTTCTTCCCACTAATGCTTGCCTAGCTTCCTTTGGAAACAATTTAGTCTCTGCCCATGGTAGAATGTTTTTATCCATTAAGAAACGGATATTTTAAAGAAACCATAAGTCAATCTGGACAGGGATTAGGAAGCAGCAATTCAGTGTATTTGCTGGGCCCATAATTCAGGACTTAACCTCAGAGCAGCCACGTTGCATTTCGGAAACAATAGGGCACTCGCTGCCTATGCCAAGAGGCTTCTTAAAAGTAATGTAATACTTTAAAACTGTATATTTAAAAAGCAAAAGAGAGAGAGAGAGATTTTACTTTAAATGCATATGGTGAAGCATTCTGCTGATGACTGGCCCTAAGTAATGGACTGGGAGTGTGAAGCTGGTTAAAGCTGAGGAGTTTCCAGATCAGGAGAGCTGAAGCTCTTCACCAGCAAACACAATGTCTCCCGAAAACCATTGAGCAGAGACTAAAGCTGGGAGAGGCAGGACGGAGCTTGCAAAAGGGTCCAGAGTTTACTGTTCTCTCTGTGAAGCCAAGGGAGTTTGGTTTCGCTGGAGCAAGGGGACGTTAAGTGCGTTAATCAAAACAGCTCGCTCTGGTACCGAGTAGATCCAATTTAAAATCACTTTGCAATTGTCCTCGTGTACGCAAGGCCCCTACATGTTGCTGGACAATGCACACAATTGCTTTTGAGTGATTGAAGATGTTTCCACCACAGAGCGAGAACACAGGCCCGGCTGCGTGGGCGGTCCTGCTCTGCTGCGGTGGGAAGAAAATGGTTCAGCACGAACCGCTGTCGAAACGCGGGCAAGGGCGAAGCACCGCGCAGAGAACTGGGGGCTTCTCCCCTGGAGGATGTGTGTCTGTCACCATCCCGCCTCCCCAGAGCAAGGGGGCCCCGAGAAGCAGCTGAAGGCAGACAGAAGCAAGTTCCTTTAACATCTTGCTTCGCTTTTGGGAGCTACTTGATTTTTTTGAGCTAGAAGGTGAAACTCGGAGTAAAGCAAGCACGCAAGGCTCTGGCCTCTCATGCCCCGTAATAAGGAACCATTTCGAGCCATCCTAATGACAGCTTGGTGTCTCGCTGAGGAGATGACAGAGCTGGGATTTCAAAACCTCAGATTTTCCAGACCTCACTGGAGAAGCATTGGGCCAAATCCTCAGCAGAGGCAAATGGCTCTGCTCGGCTGAAGCCATGCTGGTGAGGGTCTGCCCAGCTACTGGGCCAGACTGTCATCACAGCCACACGGGTTTGAACCCAGAATTACCCTATTTACCCACCAAAGCAGTGCAAGTGGGAGTGAAATCTGGTGTGTGGAGGGTTGCAAATGTCAATCCTGTTGGGGACAAGCATAGGAAGGGATGGATTCTCTGCTCATCTGAGCGGGACAAGGCAAGGCTGAAGCCACTGAGATACCCTGACGCTGGGCATGGGGAACCAGCACAAGAGCAGGATGTGACCTGCTTGGCCACGGAGCTGCGCACGCTCTCCTCCCATGTTTCCTGGCATGTCCTTCAGAAACAATCAGTTTTCTCTTACCAGGAGGTTTTTGGTTTTGAGACCATTTAACCTCAGGACGATCATTTTACATGGGGGCTATTTATAACCTCCAGGGGCTGCTTTACTGAAAGCCTCTGCGAATGGCTGAGGGCCAGACTCTTCTCCCACTTACACCAGCGTCCTTGCCGTGATCTCCACTGGCCACGGCCCTCACTCGTGAGGAGGAAAGATTGGAAAGATTGGAAAGATTGGACCAGGCCAGAGCAAACACACCTCCAAAGAACCCCGGTTCCTCCCAAAGATAAACACTGTCTCCTACGTGCCTTTCTGCCTCAAAACCCAAGCTCCACGTGCTGTATTTCAGGGATTTGAGGTGCCAGAATCCCCCCTCAGCGGCCAAGGCTGTTTCTGAGCATCTCAGCTCCCAGCCTGGTTTTGCCAGAAGCGGATTAGGAAGCATTTGTGCAAACTGCTTGGTCAGCAGAACCGGGAGGCCAACCACCTCCAGCACATGAGCAGAGGGCTGCTGGGCACCGGTGGAGGGAAAACCTGCTCCTCTGGCCCCCTTTCAATCCCTGCACAGGGATGCTAAAAACATTATGGTTGGGAAGCACCCACAAGAAGGATAGCGGGGGCCGGATGAACTCCAGCCTGTCCCTCCTAACCGGTATCTCGTTATGCTTTTCACTAATTGGCTTCTCATGTGTGTTACCCAAGAACGTGCCAAGTCGTGAGAATTACAGGCCTGTTAACTCCTGTGTTATTCTTGGCACGGGCCGGGCTCCACTTGCTCGGGTAAAAATTATGATCTCTGTGAATAAGCCGTGTGTGTGTGCGAGAGAAAGAGGGTTGTTTTTGTTTTTTTTTTTTTTAAATTATGATTATGATTGGTTATAGCCAGCGTTGTGTCAAAAGGACAGGGCTGAGATTAAAAATACTGAGCTGATCCTGCTCCCAGCTACGCTGGTAAGAACCCACAGTCATTTTAAGACAGTTCCTCAACTTGGGAACAAGGGAGCCAAGAGCAGAGCGTGCACGAACCGCCTTTTGCAGCATTCCTGGTAGTTTGGATTCACTCCGCAGGAATGATTTTAGATGGCTAATTTTGTGTGTCTCCACTCCTGCTGTCACTTGACATTTGGGAATTTGGCACGGACGGCAGCTTGTGGCCAATTTCATTTTTTTTTCTCCTTGGATTTGTGTCATCACCTGATCCCTTGCTCCAAACGACGCTCTTTGGGTTTCTGGCACTGCATGGGGCTGTGCTAATTTAAAATACAAATCTTTTTTTCTTCCCCAAGAATCTCTTTCTTTATGACGCAGCCAATGGGATGAGCCTAGAAAACTCTTTCTCTCTCTCTCTCTCTTTTTTTAAACAAAAATCAAATTATAATCCTGCACAAAATGCCCGCGTTCTTCTCATAAATCATGCTAATATCAATGAAAATTCCAAGCATGGAGATTTGCATTTCAATGAGAAATAAATTAAATTTTCACTGCAATTTTGGGTTGGGAGAAGCGGGGCAGCTTTTACAGTTCAGGTAATGTTTTCAAACATGTTTTTGCACCCGAGACACCCTCTTTGCCAATGACACTGAGGTTTTCAAACATCTACATCACTTCTCAAAATGCAACACAAAGGCTTCTGGAACTTTTTATAGGAAACCTTCCAAGAAGGGCCACTTCTCATCAAAACTCAATACGCAGACAGCTTAAATACTATTCCTGAAGTCCCTGTTAGTATCTCTGCTGCTTTCCAAAGGAAAACACCACCGAGGCTAAAATCGCACGGAAAAGGAGCACGTCTCACATGCAGACAGGAGAATGGTCTCTCTTAATTCATTCTGGTGGCATCTGGCTGTGCTGAGACGTGCACAAAGACGGGAGCAGCAAGGCAGTCGGATAATTCCAACGGCAGCGCTTAACTGGGGGCTGAAATTCAGGTGTATGGGGATTAACAGACTGACCTCTCTTGGGTAACTCCAGTGGCAATTCCCACTGCTGTCCTGGCAGCAGTGTGGATTCCCGGGGAACGCCCAAGGACTCGGGGCGCTCCTTGCTGATGGCAAATATGGGAAGAGCAAAGCTCTCTGTGTGTGTGTGTGCACGCGTGCGCCCATGCAGGTGTGCATACGTGTGGGGAATTATGCTGCAGTTGGGTGATCACCAGGCTTGGCATAAACACAATGCAACAAGATAAGAAACCATTTGGATTAGCATGTAAAGTACAAAACACCCTTTCTAGTTGATGCATAACCATAACGTGGGTGCCTTCATGTCAAAGAAGCTGCTGGGTTCAAAGTGTGTTGCTCTGATCTCCCTCGCATTCCTGCTGAAGCTCCTCAGTTTTTCCTAAGAGCCCTGATCTGATGGTGCAAAGAGTGATTTCATGGGTGCAAAAAGGCTTCCAAGGCCAAGAAATCCAAGCAAACCTCCCCCTGGCATGTCCCCCCCCACGGCTCCTTACCCAGGGGAGAGCTGGACTCCAGCCCTACAAGGCCATCCAAAGGGAATCCCGTTCGGCCAGGGAGGCTCCGCTCCCTGCCCAGCTGTGTTGGGAGTGTGAGGCTTTGGGGTGTAACGCCGGGCTGGGGCACCCAGCCAGTTACCTTGTATTGGAGTCTGAGCCTGGGACCCGAAGTGGCTCGGGGTGCTGAGGGATCCACGAGGGTTGGGTGTTGTCGGGGTGACTCTCATGGACTGGCGCAGCCGTTCCAGCTCCCCGTAGCGGTCGGTGAAGGGTTTGGCTTGGTCTTCTAGTTTTTGTCTGTGCCCTGGAACATGATAAAAGAGTCTGATATCTGATCAGTTACCCTTTGGCTGCAGCACCTTGGTTACACACAGAGTCAGCGCAGCCTCTGTCTCCGCGGTTTGCTGATGTTCACGTGGGGAGCAGCCCCGGCAGAAATCAGCTACTGGGGGGCTGCACAGCACACACACAGGGGAAGACCTCATGGTTCAGGAAAATGAAGCCCACCAAAGATGGGACACGGACTGACCCATGTGGGAGGCCCCAGATCATCCCGCAAATCATCCAGCAAGTCAGCCTTTGATCAAGGAGCCTGGATCAGGATGCCCTGCGCCGTGCCTGAGTGACCAGCCTCCACCAGCCCTCACTCTCTCTGAACACAGAGGGGAGACACGTGCAAGGCAGGAAAAACCCCATCTCCTGGCAAAGGGGTGAATGGGGAACCAGCAAAGGAAACACTGAATTTTAAGTATTTTCTGCAGCATTTGCTCAGCGCACAAAGAATAAACTCTCGTCTACTCCCCCTCCCAGCTCTGCTCACCCATTGGGGTCAGAGCCAAGTGGAGCTGGAGAAGGCACAGGAGGAGGGATGGGAGCAGCCGTGGCACCACACCTTGGCCACCTCACTTTGCTTCTTTCTGTTCCTCTTTTCCTACCCATAAAACGGGGAGACTAATCACCCACCTCCCCCAGGCAGGGCAGCAGCTAATGAGCGTTTGTAAAGCACTCCCAGCTCCTTAGGTAGCAGCTGCTGGCACAGGGCAATAATTATTAAATTTATGCTAATTGTCCCGAGGCAAGAGGCGCATGAAATACACTTGATACATAACTTTCGCATTTTACTATATTAATCATCACCAAACGGCTTCACTCTCTCTGGGCCCGATTCCAGTCTCAGTTACACCCGCACAAAGCTGGAGGGGCTCCAGGGAAGCCGGAGCTGCCTCGGTTTTACATCAGTGCCGGGGTTCAGACCTTGGATTCTCCTTGCTCTTTACCTGCCGCAGCCAGACAGCCCTGCAACACCCCCAGCTCTTTGCACCTGCCAGGAAAGGACCTTCCCAAGGTGGCAGCCGCCTCATCCCGGCGTAATCCGAGCGCAGGGCTCGGGGGCACTGGAGGTGTGCGGGCACGCCGGGGAGATGGGAGAGGAGCTGGGAAGAAACCTTCTGCAGTGCTTCAGAGAGCTGGGCCTTATCAGATCCTACAGACCGACATCCACTGAGTCAGTGGCTCAGTTCTTGGTGGCTTTTAAGAAGTGACGCGTTTCAGAGGTGATAAACGCAGCCACCTCTTGCTCACACCCTCCTTCCCTCCCCCCTCACATCTGCGTGGCCTGAGCCCCATCGTCAGTTTGTAGCAAAGTCACAGAAAGTCCCCGGACTTCCCCCTCTTTAATAATGTCTTGCATCTCCTGATCTCCAGAGGGGTTCTCACACTCCCAGCTGAGCTGCCTGCCATGGCATTGCTCCATGGATGTCCCAACAGCAAACCACCCCTTGTCACAGTTTCTGAAGGCCTTTGACCCTCCTCTGTGAGCTCCACATCCAGGTGAGCCCCACCATCCCCTCCAAACTCCATGATCCCCAGGCTTCCGGGTGTGTAAAAGTCCAAACTGATGGAAAACGGGCTGACAACAGAGAGCAAAACTTGTTGAGGACAAACCCCAGCAGAAAGCAAAACACCCAGCAGTGTTTTGAAAATGTCTTTTCCCTGCTATGTGAAATAAACCAAGGAAACCTCACAGCAACACTGTAAATGATCTCTTCTAATCTCTGTGTGTCCCCAGACCTCAGGCACCTCTGCATTATCCGAGGCCTTTGGAGCCATGAGCAGCATCTGTCACGTGGCATTTGTGCTTTCCCCAGGGGAAAAGTGTGTGCAGTGAGGTGTCCTGTTTTGGTCCACATTGTATGACTTCAGTATACATTTAAGCACAGAAAAAGAAAAGTAGGGTTATGTTTCACCTTTAACTGCTTTCCTTGGGCAGAGCGTGGCAGAGGAGCCAAAAGGACTTCAAGTTCCCCAGAAATCTAATGGAAATCAAATTCCCTGCCTCCATCTCAGCACAAACCCTATCCTGCGGTGGTATCTGGCATGTGACGGAGAAAATCCTGAAAAATATATCAAGTGATCTCCGTGCTGATAAATGTTTTTAAAGATTATTCAGCCGTACAACTTGACTGAGGGCTTCATGTGGCTGTGTCATGCTGCACTGGGGTTTCTCTGGTCCCCACATGGTCTGAACATGGACACAGCCCCGTGGGGGTTTTAAGCCTCAAGTAAACAGCAGCACTGTACTTACACCCTCGAGGAGGAGCTGGTTTGTGGGGAGACCCAGCAATTACCGGCGAAACCCCCAAAACCTTAAACCTATCCTAAAAAAAGAAAGTGGAAAACTTGATGCCAGTGTAAGTCGAGGCAAACACAGGGGCTCACTTAGGATGAGCCCTCACCAGAGGATGCTGTGGTGGGATCAGGACCATTCCCAGCTCTCCTAGGCCCTCTCTGGTCTGTATCCTGCCCTGTCTCCATGTGTGGGACGTGGCAGCACCAAACCATATGAAACAAGGCACTGAACGAGTTAAAAACCACCAGCTTGGACTGCCAACCCTCTTTAGCTCAGGCTTTCTCCCCAGGACTTCCTGCCGCTTGTCACTTTAGAGCTGGGGACGTCAGACTTTGTCACGCAAGAGAGAATCGCTATTAATGGGTTTCTTTCATCAGAACAACCTGAGCTTTTTAATTTCTGCAGCGGTTGGCTCCATTAAAAGCCCTTCCCCATCTGCCCACAGCTGTCACGGAGAGGAAACCAGTGCCGTCAAGTGAACAATAGCTCATACCTTAGAGAAGAGGAAGGTGGTTTCTAGCTTAACCCAAGGACTGACTCAAAGCCTCCTGAAGCCAGTGGGCGGGTTTTCACTCAACTTCAAGCAGCTCCAGACACCTCATCCCAAGAAATCTGCCTGAGAAGTCTTCATCACCCCGACCCGTGAATTTTGGGGCACGAAACCTGCCGTTTGGGGTTGGAGACTTAGCCCTGCACTTCCAGCTGGGCTAGCACTGGCTTGCAGGTCAATATTTATGGAAACAACAGAGCTTAGAACGATCAAATGATGGCAGCTACTGACCTCGGGCACCTCTTGTCAACAGCACAAGGGTTTTAACGCTGGATCGGGTTTCTGAATCAGTTAACTCCGATATTGAACATGACATGATGTAAACATTGACAGATCACCTATGATCCTGATGTAATAACAAGATCTGTATCAGCATATCAAACAAACGATCCCATTGAACACTTCCCAGCTGGAAGAGCCGATGTGAATTTGACACTTTGGGCCAGTAATAAGAAGCACACTGGAAGTTTTGGGTGTTTCCTTGGAATGCAGACAGCGAAACAGTGTGTGCCACACTGCAGCCCAGGCGCTCAAAGCTCTGATTTAAAGACATGCCTTCTGCATTAAAACATTACAAAGACCTAACAGACCCTGCTCTTCCTTCTAGGAGTGTGCAACCTGATGTGGTTTCCCAAGCTGGGACCTGGATGGGGTTTCCAGGCAGTGCAGGAGGGAGTTCCACAGTTCACCAAAAGCAGCTTATTTCCCCCAGATTACTGAGATGCAGAATATAAAGTTGATCAAAGGTAGAAAGGGGCTTCAGGAACCTGAGTGGTGTCAAAATCTTAGAGAGAAATTTGATTTGAAAAAACACTCTCCGGGGTGCCTGAGGGTCATGGTACCCTGATTTATCTGTGGTTAGTTGTTCAGTCATGAGACACAAGGAGCTGCACATCCTCCTCTCCACCCCTGGGGGGGTTCAGATTTGGGTGTCACATTTGTCCCCATCCCCTGGCACAGCCCTTTGCTACCAAAGGATGGGAGAGCAGATGGTGGGAAGTGGCTTGGCCCTCCCCAGGAGTCTTGCTGCGAAATGCTGGCGGCAAGATGGAGAGAAGGAAACACAGAGCTTTTCAGCTCTGGGGGATGTTCATTAACACACACATTTGCAGATAATTTCCTTAGCTCCAGTGAGGAAGAGACAAGAACCAGGAGATGGCAACATGGGCTGGGACATCAGCTCGAGCCATCAGCAGCCACAGAAGCCCCCACTCATCCACCTCCAAAGCAAGGTTCCAAACATCCCACCAGCATGATCCCACCATCCTCCACCCAAGGCTCTGCTCAAATATTCACAGTCAAACTCCAGGGCTCAGCCAAGCAGGAGCTCACCAGGAGCAGTCCCTGCACACAACCCCGTGGCTTAGTCTCTACATGTCCGTGAGAATGGACCACAAGAAAGCAATCAGCAGTGGATAAAACTCCGTCTCAATGTGCAAAACACCTTTCAAATCCCTCTTATAGCCCTCAAAATAGGTACTTCAGAGAGACACGCCAATCCTCTACAGAGGGTTGAATTTTTTCCCAGTCTGAGTCTCGACTAGACTATCAAGTCCCAGCATGTGCTCCAGAAAGAAGCCACATGTGAAACGCCTGTGTTATGGGAACAGCAGGCCTGTCCCTTACTGCACATGTTGGGGTGGTTTCATCTTCGCACACCTATAACACGAGGCATGAACACCCCTCAGGTTTTCCCTGGAATCCCACCTCCTGCTCTAGACTCACCACGGGAAGCTCCCGGCCAAGAAGAATTTGGTGGAGCCCCCACGGCCAGCGAAGGAGGGAGGGGGAGGACGGTGTGGAGATGGGAACCAGGTTGCCCGCAGTGCCAGGAGCTGGGAGGGACTCACACATGACGTCTCCACGGAGGATGACGGAGATGCCCTCCGAGCTCCGGTGAGCGGCGGCAGCCTGGAGAGTGCCAACCCTGCTTCAGCCCGCTTCTAGAAGCCGAAGCCCTGGAGTTCACAGGAGGGAGCAGGGGGCAAATGTTAGAAGGAACCGTCTCTTCTGGTGCCGAACAAAGTCAAGCACAGATAACTCATTATTCACATGTTTGAAGTTGGCCTGCTTACGCCATTTGGAAAGAGAATCAGTCACGGCCGGGCTTTGCTTTGGTTTCCTC